TGAGTATTGAATTCTATTTGGTGAGAACTCATTTGGGTTTGGGCTACAGCTGTTTTATGCGTCTAAAGTCTTGAAAGTTGCCCAATTTGGATGTCATTTGTTAAAAATGTTGCCAAAAAATTATATTGTCTCCCATATGAGAAATGTGTCCTGGAGCAGGGGGGGTCAGTTGCACCCACATCTACAGACATAACATACAACACAGACAATACACATATTAACATTGACACAATTGCACCAGATGTTATTTAGCAGCTGTATTTCCACACTAGAGAAAGGGAGCTGTAAAAAGCTAAGAGAGAGTTTTGCTTCTCATTTGAGTGAACGTCCAGCTATCATCAAGAGAGTTTGGCTCGGTGTAATGACAGTCACTCATTTCTGAAAACAAAACACCTTTATCACTTTTGTACAAAGATTGCCCGGCTCTTTTAGGTAATTCAAAGTTTACGGTTAAAGCATCATTCATGCAGAAGCAAATCAGGCTGCTTAACATTGGAAACAATATAACATTCTTAGATAAAACATACAAAGAATGCTAGAAATCTAAAAATATATTCACATACAGGTACATATACACACTGAAACATGCATGCATCTGTAAAAATAACAATATGTTTTAAAAGAGTATATAAGAATGAGACTAAGACATCCACATCTGTTCAATTCAGTAAAGTTTATTTATTATTTATTATTAGGGCAGAAGCAAAAAACGTGTGCGCCCATTACATATTCATATTATATTTCAAAGAATAAACATTTAGTATTTCAAGTTCAACAAAATGATTCCGTTCTGTATCTGTCCAGGACAAACTGTGAACTTTTTTTCTCAAATACAAAAGAGGAATGGAATATTTTCATCTCTCTGCTGAGCCCCATGAAACAACAGACATCTCTGAGTTAGTACTTTGGAATAAGTCATTTTTTCTTTTACCTTCACCCATTTTTGACCTCACAATCCGCCTCATCCATCGAGACCCGTCCTCTACATCCATTCAGAGCAATCTCCACTTCCAACGCCCAGAAACGTATTTTCTCATAAACGCTGTCACTTCTTCTATCACCGGTTTGAAGCCGCCTCAAATCTCTATCTTTCCGTTCAATGCCGTGTCTGGGTGTGCTTTTCTATTTCAATAACTCTTTCCAAAAGGATTCCTGACGTTTTTCCGCCAGTTTTTTTGCTTGAGAAAAACAGCAAGGGTTATGTCTGGCTCCAGCAATCAAGCAATTCAAATCAAAACATACCCTTTGAACATCCAGAGCCATATCCTTTTTAATTCGTGAGTCTGACTGTCCACCGTCTTCGGAGTCGGAGTCTCGCACATCAACTCCCTCAATCTCGCTTCACAAAAATCATGCAAGCTCCGGCAATTATTTTTTTTGTCTGCCGTGACCCAGTTACCCCTGCGGTAGTGGTCTTTAAAATCCGCCCTCTTCAAATCGATGGCTCCTTGAAAGAAATGAAAGAAACTCCTAAACAGAGCTCGGCGTCCACTCGAGAACACTAGAAAATCAATGCTTGCGATTCATGATTCTTTTGACTTTGCGGAGAGAGAGGGTGACTCCAAAAGCACAGGGGAACGTAAAGCCAAACGCGATCTTACTCGTGGAAAGATCGCTCGTCTCAGGTCACACAGCATTGCAGATATTGACAATTTACGTTTTTTCTGTGGTTCTCGCAAGTCAAGATCGTAATTTACAGTATATTTGCAGTTTAACCCAAGCTTCGACCGAGGAAGACTGCAGAAGGGTGTGGATCTATAAACTTCAATCATTTCACTTATGCACCTGATTCGATTCTCTGCTTGGGGAAGCTTTCTTTCTGGTCGACCTGTACCAAAAGTCTAAACTCAAAATTAGAGTTCTCAGCTAGTTTGGTTCTCATTCACTCCAGTGTTTTTGCAAATGAACCAACCACTGTGTATGTTACATATATTAGATGACGTAGGTGAAACCTGATTGGGGCAGGATGTGAAGAGGGGAAAATCCCTGAAGAAAACAAACGAACTGTGCTACTCTAGAGTGTGGCTATTATTTATCCTTGTTGCTTTGTGCCGCACAAATACTATCGTTCCAGTATGTATCATGGATTCAGCACGAGAACACACTGCGGCTGTTTTTGACTATTCTATCATATAAAAAAACAATGTGTGTGTCAAACAGTGGGCTACTAAACAGAGCAGGGCCATATCGAGGCCAGTCAGCGTTACCCCCAGCAGCGAACCACACTGGAGTCCACATAGAACCGCACCGAGACCAGCTCCATAAGGTGGTCTCGGTACGGTTCTTTAGTCCGGACCAAATTGCGGATGACATCATATCGGCAAGGAACCACCCAACTGTTTCTTGAGATGGATCAACAAACTTTTTGATTCCCTGATATTTCACACATGATCTGAGTGGATTCAACAGTAGGGTTTCTGTTCAACCCCAGCTCTTTCCATTTTCAACGAGGCAACGTTTTCTAAATTGGCAGCCACATTTTTTGTTAGATGAAGAGATTCCTAATATGTCCCGCAGCGAGGAAATGTCAGTGTTGCATCACCTGTTACAGAAAAAGACACATTAACAATAACTCTATACTAAAATAAAATATTATCTCTAGCTTTAGCATAATAAAGAAGTAACTATAAAATCTCTAGCTTTAGCATTATAATGACACAAGTATAAAATCTCTAGCTTTAGCATAATAAAGAAGTAAGTATAGAATCTCTAGCTTTAGCATTATAATGACACAAGTATTAAATCTCTAGCTATAGCCCTGTTGTGGAAATTCTGCAGTGACCAAGAGCAAAATAATGTAAACAACCAAGAGCTGTAAAACAATCAAAGTGTGAGTTTATTCATTAGTAAATGTGCACAATTACAATGAATAACAGAACCGATACAATACCACCGGGCAGCCGTCTGAGATCTTCTGCCCCGAATGAGGAAATGACTGGACATTAAATAGACCAGAGTAAACAAACACATATCTACTCTAGATATTTCACAAATGAAGTAGACATTGATATGTGTCGCTCAAGGCTCCTCTCTACGCTTTCTTACGCTGATATAATTCTGATTCTTGTAATAATCTGATTTGGCCTGAACATATTGTTCTATGAGGTCAAAGACATGTTGCAGCACGTCTCCATCTATCACTGACCTGGATGACAGCTGAATCCAGAGTTGACTATTAGTTAATAACTTACACTTATAATTATTTGGTTTGAATTCAGATTACTTTAATAAAAGATTTCTATAACAGCCCAATGAAGAAGCAAGTATAAAATCTCTAGCTTTAGCCCAATGAAGAAGCAAGTATACAATTTCTAGCTTTAGCATATACATCTGAGTCTCTGGGATGAAAGTATCTGAGTAAAGTGACAAACTACTAGCACTTACTCTACCTCAAAAGTCACCTTCCTCTTCCTCATCACTCGTACCACTAACAACAACCCTCCATTTCTGCCATCGTCAGCCATTTTGCAAAGCTCTTCCGCCGTATCCCGCCATGCCCCCTTAAGAACACAACACAGATTTAAACCGTCTTACCATCCGCCTCCCCTCTCTCCCCCCTCTCTCCCCAGTCCACCTCTTCTTAACCCTGCTTGCCATTCTACGATAATTAGCCTTTGCTCGAAATAATAGCACCGCCAGGAAAACAACAAGGGCTTACAGGCTTAGGAAAGGAACTAGGAGGAGGTAGGAAGCTGATTCGCGATCCTGGCAGACTCCTGGATAATGAAAGTGTCAGGTTGAGCTAGCAGCAGCTTGTGTGTGTCCATTGTGTGTGATGGTGTGACCACAATAACGCACACAGATGTCAGTTTAGCGGCGCGGCGATAACGTGTATATGATGTTACATGCTAGCCAAGAGAGAGGAGCTAAAACTGGGCATATTGTACTACATGTACAGAGCGTGGCGAGTGTGTTATGGGATGCAGACGGGCTCGGATTGCGTTCCGGGAAGTGTAGCTGTGGTCTTTCTGATACAGGTTGTGTGCGATGGGGAAAGCATTCAAGGTTAACGCGGGGTTGAGGCAAATATTGGGGAAGAAAAATGCAGTTTTACTTTTGGAGCTGCTTTAAAGGAGACATCACATGCTCAAAAGGCCTGGAGTTGTTTTTAGATCTAACCATGCTGGGAATGTCTGGCACAAACGTGTAGCTCAGTCCCTTCTGTCTCAAAGCTCCTGTCTCAGTCCCATAAAAGTATGATGTCATTGCACTACTATGACATCACACTCAGAGTAGTTTTTTGTCGCTTCAAACTAAAGTGTTACCTATGAATTAGTTTTGGTCATTTCTAAAGTGAAATGACATTCTGTATAATTAAATATATGTGTTTTAATCTGGTGATGGCATAGGGACAGTGCAGGCTGATTCGGCAGCCTGCACAGTTTGCATGTTCTTCTCGGGCCTGAGTAGGTTTCCTCTTGGTGCTCTGGTTCCCCTAACATTAAAAACATGCACACTAGGATAAACCTCCAGCTCTGGTCCTGACCAAGCCGAGCATCAACATCTGGAGATGGGTTCCCGGGTGTTGTTACTACGGCGACCACTGCTCCTGACGTCAGCCTTAGTGGCATCAGAGTCAAAAGCAGAGAATCCCCTACGGAGATTAATAATGTGCACCTTTCCCTTTACCTTTGTTCACTCATCATACTCATTGTGTTCTACAATGTAAAACATTAAATGACAAAGAAAAGTCTCTCTTGTATTTGTTCTTCTTAACATTGCATTTAAAATATTAGTTTAGCTTTTGTTTTAAAACAGAACTTTTTGAGAAATAGTATTATTCTATCTATCTAGCTATATTTATCTTCATTTAGCCAAATTTGAGACTAGTTTGACGTACTTTTCATCACTTTTAGCAGTGTGTGGTTTGAACGTCTCTCACCCCATCCTTAATTATGACCAAATCTCAATATTAAGAGACACATACTGTATTGCAGATTATTCTTCCCAGTTTTCTCAATACTATCTCCCGCCGTCAAATCTCTCCGTTACACATTTGTATGTCTGTGGCGGAGGGCAGTCTGTCGGCCCACGGGGTTACACGCAGTTTCGGCTGGTTTCATTACAGTATGCTAATCTCCAGCCAACGCCCGCCATTTCCCATTCACCAGCAGGCCCCTTGGATCCCAGCCAGAGAACAGATATGCAAACACGCCAGGCTGGAAGACGCATTTTTATTCCTCCGCATTTGGCAGTTGAGACAAAGTTAGTCTGACGGTGGATCATCTGTGTTTTGGTGAGCCGGCGGCTGAGCGACGGTTGTCACGATGGGGTTGAGTTTGAGGTTATACGACAAGAGGCAGATTAGTGATTCGCCGGTGACTGGAATCGCAGAGGCAGAAGCTGAAGCTATTAGCGTAGCAACAAATTAAGAAAGTGTGCTGCCAGTCATTTTCTCTCAAGACAAGGTTCTTCACTGCATTTTCCGAAGCCAGAAGCAATGACATTCCTCGCCAAATATCTAGTGTCACACTGATTGCAAGTTCAAATATTTGGCTTTTCCTTTACCACCAGAATTGAGCCGAGATTAAAGCTGAGTGTCCAGTATTACAAATATTGAAGGCCCACATTTAAGCCTGTGGACTAAAAGTTTGGAGGATGTTATGGGAAATGTATTGATTAATTAATTGTATATATCACATACAAATATATAACATCTGATTTCTTAAGATATAGATTCTTTAGATTCTTTTCTTTGTCTGTTTTCTCAACATTTACACTTTTTGAAATATTTGGGTTATCTTTATCACCAGAATTGGACAAAGATTAAAGCCTAGATTCCGCACTTTGAAATGAAAAAATATGAGATGCTGTTTTTACCTTACTTTTAGACAAGTTTTGCCAATTTTGACAAAGCCATCTAGTCTTATTTGTAATTTTGCTTTGTCCTATTGAGGACATTAATGGACATTGGTCTCCGCCCCTTATGGACCAATGTGTTTCCTGTGTTTGATTTGCTGATCTGTTTTTGGCAAGTCCTCCAAGATACTGTTGTGATTTAAGGCAAAACAAGAATAATTTGAATTGACTTTAATTGTATCTTACTAACTCCACCGTTGTCTCCTTTCTTGTGTCTGCAGCTGGGACGACGTACATCTTCGGGCGCGGCGGAGCCCTCATCACTTACACCTGGCCTCCTAACGACCGGCCGAGCACGCGGGCAGACCGGCTGGCCGTGGGCTTCAGCACGCAGCTCAAAGAGGCCGTGCTGGTCAGGGTGGAGAGCGCCAAGGGACTGGGAGACTACCTGGAGCTGCACATAGTAAGAACTACTTTATCTACTGCTCGCGGCTTTGCTTTGGTTGGTGTCCAAGGGCTGGCAGAAGGTTGTGCAGGTTGGGGAGGAGGGTGTTTTAGGGAGGTGTCGTGACATCAACAGTTTGCGCAGAATTTGCAGGTTGTAGTTTGGCGACGAATGCGATATATCCAAATATCAAGAAATGGAAGCCAGAGCAAGTGGAATTTTTATCAAATGTCATTGCTGCAAAGATGTTGTGGCTCTATCCCCAGGGGCTCCGTAAGTGGCAAAGGAGATGGCTAAAGCTAGGCTAAATGCTAAATGCCTCACTCACTCAGGTGCATCACATACGTCACAGTAAACTCAATGGAGCAAATACGGACCTTAGTACAAAATAAAATGAGTACGATGGTATGGTAAGACTAGGCTAGAAAAGTTTACGAAGTGCCTTACTTTTGTCCCTTATTTTCCACTAGCCCAGAGTCAGGTTGTGAAAAGTGGTCCGCGTTAAAAGTCAGTTGTACATTAACTATTTTGCTGTGTTTCAAAGTTGGTTTGAATTGGTCTGTGATTGGTTAAATTGTGCATCGGTTAAACGTTTTGGCGCAGTTCTTTTGAAGTCGCATTTCTAGTTTGTTCTTTGTTAATTTGATAATACCTTCAGTAAGTATTGAGTTTGTCAAATGTCTGTTGAGGGATTGATTGGAAACAGCCTAACCTGGCCTAATAACCTAAGAATGATTGTATTCATTTGTTTTAGAAAGATCTGAAAAAGACTTCAGAATCCTGTGTAAAGTTAGTGGTTGGAAGAAATTGAGTTTAGGATGCTCTCAAAACTATTTTAAGGGGTTGATTTTCATAGTATTTTGTTAATCCACGTTATTAGATGTGGATTGGTCTAAGAATTACAGCGATCTCGATACTAGACGTGACTCTGACTTTGGACAGCTGCTGCCCTCGACTACAAAGTTAAACTATAAACTCTTTGGACACGGTTTATTCTAAGGGCAGAGAAAAGTTTGTTGCCTTTTTCAACCTTCCACAAATGAAACCAGGTCCAGAGATGCCAGATGTGGACTTGCCGCTGCTTTATTCTGCCGTCGCTCTCATCAACTCCGCTCCAAACTGCCATTTTTCATCGTTAACTTGATCGGCCATGTTTTTATTGCACAGATGTTCCGTCGATCACCACTGGCCTTGACCCACTTTCAGTCCAGCTTCTCTCGCGGTCGCACCCTCCGCTTCTACACATACTCTCTCCATGTTTCAGACTCTGGTTTCTCGCATTTCAGAAATATAATTATGAGGATGAAGTCAGCGATTCTCCAGTTTTTGTTATTGTTGACGCCTAAAATCTCTCTTTTCTGTTGTCTAGCATTGATTGATTTTTAGTAATTTGAGCAGAAATGGAACATTCATAAGAATTTAAAATATTTATATCCCTTAGCACATGGAGATACCTCTTTAAATGTTTATTTTAGCAGTTTCTGAATTAAGGTGCTTTTAACCCTAATCTTAACCCTAATCTTTATTCGTACCACAGTGGGGAATTTCAGTGTTGCATCTACAGTTACACCGGTCTAAAAGCTCTAGCTTTAGCATAATAAAGAAGTATGCATAACATCTCTAGTTTTAGCATATTAAAGAAGCTAGTGTAAAATCTCTAGCTTGAGTAAGTAGTAAGTAATCTTTATTTATATTGCGCCTTTCACAGACCAGAGTCACAAAGAGGTTTACAATTGTTATTTTTTTGGGCATTTGTCCGCTCACTCCACACAGAGATATTGTGTATGTTTTTAGTGGTAGGGGAAACCGGATGCCTGGAGGAAACCGGATACCTGGAGGAAACCGGATACCTGGAGGAAACATACGCAGACATGGGGAGAACATGCAAACTCCACTCAGAAAGGGTCTGTTCCAACCGCGACTCGAACCCAGGACCTTCTTGCTGAGAAGCGAGAGTGCTAACCACTCAGCCACAGTGGGCCACTCAACCACCGTGCATCATAAAGAAGCTAGCATAAAATCTCTGGCTTTAGCTTAATAAAGAAGCTAGTATCCACTGTATCTTTCTACAGTGTTACAATAAAACATTTGATCTTGTGATGTCACATCCTTGGTGCCCGGTGCAGTTTACCCCCTGTAAAGCTGCTGTCGCCTCCCGCTCTGAGCAGATTGGGGTCGTGGCCCGGTGCAGCGAAGGCCTCGGTGCTGGATGCGACGGTTAAACAGTAGAAGAAGAAGGTTCATGGCGGATACTTCCACAGGTGCCGGCGGTTTGACCTGCTGTGCGTGACATGGGTTTGATACTACCACTGGTCAGACATCCAGAACCAGGACTGTCCAAACTAAAGACTCGCAAGGTGATTTTGTCCTTCTGCCTCGCTCGCACAAAGTAGCTATGGCAAGGCAAGGTTATTTGTATAGCAGTTTATACACAAGGCAACACAACGGGCCTAACAAAACAAGACAGAAAGACACACAATCACAGGACATACAAAAATCCTTCAGTTGTAGCATCAAAATAGAACTGGATTTGAACATTGTCAGAGAAGAAGCCTGTCTGACATTTTCATGAAGACTGTTCCAGATTTTAGCTGCATGAATCAAATACGCTGCCTCCTCATGACTCCTGCCTCAGTGACTATCAGGAGGCCAGTCCCTGTGTCCTTGTCTCTCTGGTCTCTCTAGTCTCGCTTTCTCTCTCTCTCTGGTCTCTCTAGTCTCGCTTTCTTTCTCTCTCTGGTCTCTCTCTCTCTCTCTCTCTGGTCTCTCTCTCTTTCTTTCTCTCTCTCTCTCTCTGGTCTCTCTAGTCCAGGGGTGCTCACACTTTTTCAGCATGCGAGCTACTTATAAAAGGATCAAGTCAAAATGATCTACCTACTACAAAAATGCAAATCATATATTTCAAAAAATATTCTTTATATCTACAATGTATGTTTATGTACATGCAAAACCGCATGAGCCAATATAGCAATTACCTATTACCTATGTACATTTTTTGTCATTACCCGAGTTTACTCTGATGACTTGCACTGAATTGAATCGGCCAGGGATGCATAGTCCGGAAAATTGGTGGTAACTCGCTGACAAGTTTATCGTGGTTTAGCTTTCCTGCACTGAGCGCGGTTGTTTGCGCATGTGTAGTCACCTAAGTGTCAGTAAAACATTACTGAGTAAAACACAGATGTCATTTGACTGTGGTGCCATGTCCATGTGCCATGCCTGTTTTTTTTAAATCCAAATATTTCCCCTCCTCCGTTTATAAAATAATTTGCATCCACACATCTGCGTTATCAATCACATTCGTAACATTCCAAACATGTGCGTCTCTTACGTCCTCTCCTGCGTTGGGGAAAAACACAGAAGTGGGCGGAGTTCTGATGCAGACGCCGGTAACGGCACTTTTACAGTCATAGAAGACACTCAGAGTAAAGACGTATGTTTACAAGCACTGACCCCGTCCTCAGCCCTGGTTTAGTCCTGGTTTAGCCCTGGTTTAGCCCTGGTTTAGTCCTGGTTTAGTCCTGGTTTAGTCCTGGTTTGGTTGTTTTCGAGCGTGAGTCCCCGCGATCACTTTGCTGCCCTCTGATGTGGAGCGAGGATGTTCGCTTCTGCGAGCATCTCACAGCGAACAGTTTTTAAGGTAGTATGATCCATGCTTCAGTGATCAGAGGAATTTAGGGGGGTACTGTGGCGTGCGAGAACGCAAAACTCTGGTTATCTCTGTCTACACACAAATGCATTAACGGAGTTTTCAAAAATCTCCACTTTGCCCGCAGTTTTTTGTATATATTCGTTTAGAATGTGTATTTTTTTATTTATTTAATGCGATCTACCAATACTACCTTTGCGATCGACTGGTAGATCGCGATCGACGTATTGAGCACCCCTGCTCTAGTCTCTCTCTCTTTCTTTCTCTCTCTCTCTCTCTGGTCTCTCTAGTCTCTCTCTCTTTCTTTCTCTGGTCTCTCTTTCTCTCTCTCTCTCTCTCTCTGGTCTCTCTAGTCTCTCTCTCTTTCTTTCTCTGGTCTCTCTCTCTCTCTCTGGCGTCTGTCCTTGGATCTTTCTCTCTCTCTCTGGTCTCTCTAGTCTCTCTGCTCTTTCCCTCTGCGGTTTCTCTCTGGTTTCTGTTTCTATCTGCTCTCTCTCTCTAGTCGCTCTCTCTCTCTTTATTGGGCGACAGTGGCTCAGTTGGTAAAGCATTGGCCTTTGGGCCCAAACGTCGTGGGTTCGAGCCCACCACAAGCCCTTCTTCACCGACTCCCACTGATGTCTGCTGTCGTTGTGTCTTTGGGCAAGACACTTAACCCACTTTGCCTATAAGGAGCGCGGAAGTGATGTTCGCTGCTTGCCTTGATATGTGTATGTGTGTATGTGTATGCATCAAACTGAAAGTTCCCCCATTGTGGGACGAATATAAGACCTTCTTCTTTCTTTCCCTCTCTAGTCCCTCTGCGGTTTCGCTCTGGTTTCTCTCTCTAGTTTCTCTTTCTATCTGCTCTCTCTCTCTCTTTTTCTGGTCTGTCTTCCTCTCTCTCTCTGGTCTCTCTAGTCTCTTTCTCTCTCTGGTCTCTCTCTTTCTCTGGTATCTCTCTCTCTCTCTCTCTGGTCTCTCTGGTGTCTCTCTCTCTTTCTCTGGTCTCTCTTTCTCTGGTCTCTCTCTGGTCTAATCGAGTTAGAGGACTTTTCTCTCACATGTAAGCCAATATGAGAGAGTTGGATTCATATGTTTCTGTCCTGTTAATGACTGCAGCAGCTGGGGTCAAACTTACATCAGTCCTGGACCCACTGCTCTCTCACAAACGCCCACCGTCCATTAATTACAACAAACAGCGTCATTAGGAGGTGATTTTTGGAACAACCTTTTAAAAGACACTTGAACGCACCGCGGGCTGTCGCTGGGTTTAACAGCGGCTAATTGTCCACCACCCTTTCTACAGATAATTATGAAAATAATAATAGGCCTCTCTGTGTTGTTAGTTACTGTGAGAGAGACATGGATCTTGACCTGAAAATTAATACATGTGTAAAAAAACTAAAACAAAAAACAAGGGAAAAAGCAGTATTTCGTGTTTTCTGGTTAGAGAAGCAGATACTCTATACAGTATTATGAGTGATTCGTCCCTGGACTCTCTCTTTCTCTGGTCTCGCTTTAGTCTCTCTCTCTCTGCTCTCTCTCTGGTCTCTCTCTCTTGTCACTCTCCGGTCCCTCTCGCTTCCTGGTCTGTCCCTGTGGTCTCTCTCTCTTGTCTTGCTCTGATCTCTCTTTAGTCTCTTTGGTCTCTCTCTGGTCGCTCTGCTCTCTCTCTTTGGTCTCTCTCTGGTCTTTCTCTCTGGTCTTTCTCTGGTCTTTCTCTCTCTGATGCCTCTTTGGTTTCTCCCTGGTCCCTCTGGTCTCTCTCTGGCCTCTCTGGTCTCTCTCTGGTCTCTTTCTGGTCTCTCTCTGGTCTCTCTCTCTGGTCCCTCTCTGGTCTCTCTCTGGTCTCTCCCTGGTCTCTCTCTGGTCTCTCTCTGGTCTCTCTCTCTGGTCCCTCTCTGGTCCCTCTCTGGTCTCTCTCTGGTCTCTCTCCCTGGTCCCTCTCTGGTCTCTCTCTGGTCTCTCTCTAATTTCTCTCTGGTCTCTCCCTGGTCTCTCCCTGGTCTCTCTCTGGTCTCTCTCTGGTCTCTCTCTGGTCTCTCTCTGGTCTCTCTCTTTAGCCAAAGTGACTATTCTTTCTCACCCCGACTTTTCCGCAGCCTGGAACTCGCGCAGAAGAGAGTCCTGTCTCTTTAACACATCAGTCATTCTGCTGCCGTTAGACCCTCATTCCCCTCATGTCTCTCACACCTCACTGCCTTCTCACTCCCCCCCCTCTCTCTCCCCCCTCTCTCCCCCACCACCGCAATTACACTTCATTTGGTGCCACCGCTCCTGAAATTACGGTGTGGGAGTTTGGCGTCCCGTTAATTATCCCTGCCCTGCTGCCGATCGGAGTGCGGAGAGAGAAGCAGGCGAAAACTCACGGCCCCCGACGAGAACCGAGAGAGAGAGCGAGAGAGAGCGAGGGCCCCAACGCCATTAAGCAGTTCTGACGGAGGGGCCCTGCAGACCCAATCAAGCCGCTAAACAGTTCTAGGCCTCAGGTTATTGGCGTGTGCTTTTGCTAAGTGCAATACAAAATGGCCGTCACGTTTGGTTTGAAGAGAGCCATTGTATCGAGTGCCAATGACAGGTTTGGCATTTCACCGAGGCGTAAGATGATGCTGTTGAGGCTGGAGAAGCTAATTTTGCAACGATGTAATCAAAAAATCAAATAAACAATAACAGTTTGGGCTGAGAGCTGAGGAAACCGAACAGTGGGTGGGTTTTCATTATGTTTTAGTATCTGGGGCTGAGCAACCTGATCATGAAATGGTAAAGAACAGGTTTATTACAGCGCTTTTTTGGACGTTTTTACATGTCATAATTCTTTCACTCCAAACACGGTGGTGAAAAACTACAACCATAGCCACAGCTGCCCTGGGGCACACTGACAGAAGTGAGGTAACCAGTCTGTTCACCACCACCAATCATTCACACACACCAGACTCATTTTAATTTGGGTGAAGTGTCTTGCCAAACGACACATACAGCCACAGTTGGTCACTTTACAGCCGCAGCACTCTGAAACTTGGTGTTCCCTGAGGTCTCCCATCACGGCACTAACCAAGCCCTGCTCCGCTTAGCTTCAGAGGTCTGACGGGATCTTTTTTTCACATGTAGGTGCCGCCACAAACCTAGAAACCTACCCACAATGGAAAACAGTATGCAGGAAATGTTCTTCGTAACCATGGCTTCCAGCAAAATTTCATCTTTCAAATGATGGACTGGTTAGGTAATCGATAACACCGTATGTATTTTTGATTAAGAATAACTTTAAACTTTAGTCCAGAAAAGGATTTGTATTGAGTTTAAAATACTCTTTAAGATACATGAACGTATATAAAAACCAACTCACAGACCTGGACCTGTCTCTGTCTCTGCCTCTGTCTCTCTCTGTCTCTGTCTCTCTCTGTCTCTGTCTCTGCCTCTCTCTCTGTCTCTCTCTCCGTCTCTGTCTCTCTCTCTGTCTCTGCCTCTGTCTCTCTCTGTCTCTGTCTCTCTCTGTCTCTGTCTCTCTCTGTCTCTGTCTCTGCCTCTCTCTCTGTCTCTCTCTCCGTCTCTGTCTCTCTCTCTGTCTCTGCCTCTGTCTCTCTCTGCCTCTGTCTCTGCCTCTGTCTCTCTCTCTGCCTCTGTCTCTCTCTCTGTCTCTCTCCGTCTCTGTCTCTCTCTCTGTCTCTGTTTCTGTCTCTCCCCCAGTCCATCCGCCTCAGTCCCTGTGCTCCCTGCCTCAGTCCCTGTGCTCCCTGCCCGCCGGCTCTCATCCTCTCCAGGGGCGTGTCTCCAAAGTGTGGGCAAACTTGTTTCTTGACATTTCCCGTTTGGGATGAAAAAAAGCTTTGAAATTCATTATCTGCAAAATGCCAGCGAAGTGAATCACGGCAAAGGGAGCGACCTCGACCGGCGGGAACGTTCTCCGCAGACTCTTCGATTAATGTAAAGACTTGGTTTAAATTATGGTTCCATTGGACTCGGAGTGAAGAGGACGTCTGGCAGATGTTGAGGCCCGTATTGAAGCAAATGTGGGCCGCTGGTTTTATGGTAATATTCTGAATATTGACTTTTTAATGGGAACTTCCTATCATCCGGCATCTCGGAAAGGCAACTATCCAGGACTGAGGCTGTAGATCCAGGACTGAAGAGGATGCAGATCCGGGACTGAGGAGGCTGTAGATCCAGGACTGAGGAGGCTGTAGATCCAGGACTGAGGATGTAGACCCATGACTGAGGATGTAGATCCAGGACTTGAGGCTGTAGATCCATGACTGAGGATGTAGATCCAGGTCTGAGGCTGAAGATCCAGGACTGAGGCTGTAGATCCAGGACTGAGGCTGAAGATCCAGGACTGAGGCTGTAGATCCAGGACTGAGGCTGTAGATCCAGGACTGAGGCTGTAGATCCAGGACTGAGGCTGTAGATCCAGGACTGAGGCTGTAGATCCAGGACTGAGGATGTAGACCCATGACTGAGGATGTAGATCCAGGACTGAGGCTGTAGATCCAGGACTGAGGCTGTAGATCCAGGACTGAGGATGTAGATCCAGGACTGAGGCTGTAGATCCAGGACTGAGGATATAGATCCAGGACTGAGGCTGTAGATCCAGGACTGAGGATATAGATCCAGGACTGAGGATGTAGATCCAGGACTGAGGCTGTAGATCCAGGACTGAGGCTGTAGACCCAGGACTGAAGGCCTCTTTTTCCATAGAGGCAATACACAGTAGAAGAAATGAAGAGAAGCGACTTACCATAACCAGCTCTTCACAATTATGACAAATTCAATGAAGCAACATTCCAATATTTCTCTCTGCTTGAAGATAAAGAATTGAAGAACCAAATAATTTTAGCTCAACGAGTTTTCCCGTGTGAGGAGGCGGTTGTGACGTCAGCGGAGCAGAGTTTTCCGGAGTTTGCGAGGCATGGGGTAAGAGGGCAGACTTCATTATTGCGGCTGAGTGACTGGCGGTGGAGAGGGGCTGGTGTTTAATCAGCCACAGAAGTTAAATAGCACACGGCCGCTCCCAAAGAGTGAGGAGGTAATTACTGCAAACTCTGACTGTGTTCGAGTGGCTCCGAGGCTCCGGCGAGAGCACCGGATCTGCAAATGTTTGCCCCAAAGAATAAAAGAATACGGCAAAGACGGTCAAAAACTGCTACTGTCGGCTCTGGCTTTCTACTGCAAGAGATGGAAGTTTGTTTTTGTAAATTAATTCCTTCCTTTTCATCCATATCTGGGTCTGGGAGCGGCAAACGGAGCTGAGGTTAAGAGTCTTAAGATGAAGAGATACTTTATTCGTTATAGAACTGTAGGAAAGAAGAGCACACTGCACACGATAAATGGACAATAACACCAGCTTTAGTATAATGAAAACGTATAAAATCCTGTATATTAGTGCAAGATATATATATATATATTAGGGGTGGGCATAGATTATTTTTTTTAATCTAGATTAAAGGTTTATTTTATTTCTGCCGGAACATATGCTACCCAAAAATAATAACTAATATTGAGACCAGTGGTTACAAAATGCATCACAAGCTGCTTAAGAAAGCTGTTAAAACTATGATAATTGGTGATGAAAATAAATCATGTTCAATAAGATGCACTTGTGTTTACTGTTTATTCTGTTAAACATGAAAAATGAACGGTGATTAACTGTTTACAGTCAGTAACTTTGTGTCAATCAGTCCAAGCTCTATTTCTCCTTCTTCCACCAGTCACTCAGGCAGACCAGCTTGTTTACATTTTCTGGTGACAAACTAGCTCTCCTCTTCTGCACAATATGGCCTGCTAAAGAAAATAGCCTCTCGCATGGGACCGTTGTGGCTGGAGTCCCCAAGTATTTGCGGGCAATGAGGGACATCTTACCATAGACAGCAGTGTGCTCCGCCCACCACTTCAGTGGACACTGATCTAGACTGGCACTGGGCTCTACCTTGTACCTCTCCACAGCATTGTCTTCTGGTGTCTCTGAGTCTGAGTCTGAGTCTGAATCCATCAATAGCAGGGCTATTTTCTTCTTGGGTGGCTCAGAGTTCTCCTCCCTGAGTGGCTGCAGAGCAGGTTCTTCTCCCTTGACCAACTCACTTAGCTTTGCCCACACTGGCTCCCTCTCTGCTCTGGGCAAGCACTTAAGGTCCTTAAATCGTGGATCTAGCGTAGTCGCCACCTTAGATGAATAGAGAAAACATATATATTATTGATTGATGAAAATTTTACTTTCCAAATTCAACCTCCATATTTCTTCATGACTCATTCATCTGTTCATTGACTAATCTACTGGCTTAACAGTCTATAATGGTCAAATAATAGTTATCTTCTGGTCATTCTGACATACCTTAAGCCATTCCAGGTTTATTTTCTCCCTCCGCTGGTTGAGGTCCTTGGTGAAGGCAGCCTTGAATCGCGCAATATAGGCAGGATCATCATCTGAGATCTTCATCACATGCTGGAGGTGGCACAGGGCAGGTAGAACCACAGAGCAGGATACATACTTATTCCCACCAAGGAGCTCAGTGATATACCTACACAGACAGACAGAAACAAACCAAAAAATAAGTAATGACTGATTCATTTAACTCATTACACATTTTTTCTCACATTAAATTTAAGGGCATGCATTTATTAAATATACAGTGACATTTAAAATAACTTGTATACCAATTCATGAACATGCCATCTTTGTAGACCATACCTGCATGGCTCCAGCAGTTCCTCTAGCTTTGCCAACTTCTCATATTCAGCATTTGTTGGGAGGGCCAGATTCTGCTTCTGCTGAGACAGCACTGTGTGCAGTGCGTCTCTGTTGCGCCTCACACGCTTGAGCATCTCTAGGGTGGAATTCCACCGTGTTGAAACATCTTGCACAAGTGGCTCCTGAACTTGTCCAAGGGAGGCTTGCTGGACATTCAGCTCGTCTGAGTTGGCCGGACTGTGTTTGAAATGTCCGACCATTTTACGGCACTTGGCCAGTGCGCCATCAAAACCACCTTCCTGAAGAGACATTACAAAGCTCTCTGTACAACATGCGCAACACAGGGCAAATGTTCGAATGGCAGTATCCTCCCTGCTGCCACCATATTAGGAGCACTGTCTGTTCCAATAGTGCTGATTTTGTCAGCTATCTTCCACTGATTAGCGACGTAGAGAAACTGCCTTGCACACGCTTCTGCAAAATGACGCTCCTCTGTTTTCATCACACCTAACGGACAGACAAAGTAGATCAGAATAGGTTCACTACTAGTAGTAAACAACTACAAGCAAACATATGTGGTGGTAATTCGTGGTGTTGTGGTAATTAATTTAATCAATCATTCAAATAATTAAATGATGTAGGCCTAATTTAAAGTTACTTATTATACGGCTCCTCAGAGCAGCAGTAGAATGCTCCATTGATTTGAATGTAATTTCGACACACTTAAATGTTAATCGGAGAATACTTATACATATACATTCTTCACACACGTGCACGGAAATTTTCAGAATTTTCTGGTCTTGTCTTCATGACAAAAATACTATTTCTCTGCGTCAAAAAGCGATCGTGAAAAACCCGGAAGTAGTTCTGGCCGCTCAATAAACGCAAATGCCAATCAATCAACGCAATGAAATGTTTATCGGAGAGTGAATTATACATATCCAGTCTTAATACAAGTGCACGGAAGTTTTCAGAATTTTCCGTTTACGTTTTCATGACAAAAACACTGATGTAATGTGAGAAAAGGCGATCCCAAAAAACCCGGAAGTAGATACCGGCACATTTTAAGATACCGGCACATTTTCGGACACATTTGCAGAGGATCGAATTATGGATTTAGGTTAGGTTTATGTATGGGTCACTCACCGCTGATGTTCAGAATTCTTTGTTCAGTTTTCATGCAGTTCCAGAGAGTTCTAGTTTGGAAGTTGCCAGCCTAACTGTTGCTAGCATAGCCACAATTGTGGCTATGCTAGCCACAATTGAAAACTTTTTGGGACTACTTTATTTGTTGTCATTAAATAAACTTTTGGCATTCATAAAAGTGATCTGAAGTTTATTTTGTGTGTTAAGTTGGTACAAAGCAGTATAATAAGCGGGATAATGTATAGCATACAGGTCATTATCGGAAAATAAGTACCTTCAGGGCGGAAGGGGTCCGCTTCGCCCTGTCGGTACTTATTTTCCGATAATGACCTGTATGCTATACATTATCCCTTACATAACGTAGCCTACCTAAAGCGAAGGAGTGAAGCTCCCAGCTGGCATCGATGAAGTGTACAGTAACGCCGAGGTAGTTATCGTTGTTGACAGAGGTCCAGTGGTCCCCAGTCAGCGCCACACAACTCGCCTCTGACATCATCTTATCTTTTGCGGCTTTCTCTGTGGTGTGCTGGTCATGTATTCTCCTCATGATAGTTCGCCTCGCGGGTAGTTTGTAAGAAGAGTCACCTGTTGCCGTCTGGAGAACAAGCTCGAGCCCATCATCTTCAACCACACTGATGGGCCGGCAGCTGGTGGCAATCCACTGAGCGAGGAGATTAGTTAGCTTTGCTGATAGAGCTGTGCTGACGGGCTTGCCTCGGTTGCACTCAAGCATAGTAGTTTGACGACGACACTTCCCCGGCGCTACATCAGTGCTTGGCCAGGCATCTTCCTCCGCACTAGCTACGGGATGCTTTGCTTTTAGGTGGTACTTGAGACTGGAAGAACTCCTACAGTAAACAAATTCCCCTTTGCACAAGGTGCAAACAACCTTAGTCTTGTCGTAGTTTCCATTGGGAAGCTTCTTAAAAATAAATTTTCCCTGAAGCAAACCCGGTGGCGGCTTCGTAGCTGTATCCATGCTAGCACGTCACGTTTTTTGTGGTAATGTCACAGTAAGCATGCATGTACACAGGTTCGAAGATTCGTTCGCGACCCCTACAATGCAATTCGGCTAGGTATACATCCGCGCTAAAGTCATCATAGCTTGCGTAGTATAGATCCCACTCCCAACTCAACTTTGAGAATAGATTAATGCCGATATTTTTTTTATCGCCCGACAAGACTATCGCGTTAACGCAGCACGTTAACGCGATAACGGCCCACCACTAATATATATATATTGCTATTGCCATATTCTCTTGCAAATCCTAAATTCTCTCAAGGAAATTGGAACGTTTACTCAGGGCTGAAGATCCAGGATTGAGGCTGAAGATCCAGGACCGAGGCTGAAGATCCAGGACCGAGGCTGAAGATCCGAGGCTGAAGATCCAGGATTGAGGCTGAAGATCCAGGACTGAGGCTGAAGATCCAGGATTGAGGCTGAAGATCCAGGACCGAGGCTGTCGACCCAGGACTGAGGCTGTAGACCCAGGACTGAGGCTGTAGACCCAGGACTGAGGCTGTAGACCCAGGACTGAGGCTGTAGATCTGGGGTGTCATTCATACGGCCCTCGGGCCGGAACCAAGAGATTTGACTCTGCCCGCCGCTCATTTATGTAAAATGATAATCTTTATTTTATTTTTTTTATCCGCGCCGCGACGCCGCAGCACCGCGCTCAGCAGTGAGTCCAATGCGTCTGTAGCTGGCTCCACCAGAGCGGTGCTGAAAGAATATCATCTTAAAGTACAAGACTCTGCGAAAAATACGGCACTTTGAGCGGAGAATTGAGAAGACAGAAGACAAACATGGCCCTGAAGAAACAGCAGTCTGTTTGTGCCCAGAGCGAGAGGTTAGTTCTACTGCTGTAAAGGGAAGCTACCTGAGTGCTATCAGTGCTAAAAACATAGCATTTGCATCGCAGCCGCACAGTGAGAGAGAGTTTGTTAAAACTCTCACAGGCTGCAGACATGGTCTGGGAAACCACACGCTGTCACCAACATGTTGCCATTTATGAGAGACTGATGTTACTGATGTCACATATTCATTTGTGGTGTTACTGAAACTATCAGAGGAGTTTTGAGCGCTGCTGCTGGTGCTGCTGCTGGTTCTGCTGTTGCTGGTGTGTTTGAGGTGTGGGCTGGTCCTACGCTGTCAGTCTGGTATCGACGGTAAAGGCAAGGCAGGTGTTCCAGGACTGAGGCTATAGACCCAGGACTGAGGCTGTAGATCCAGGACTGAGGCTGTAGATCCAGGACTGAGGCTGTAGATCCAGGACTGAGGCTGTAGAGGACTGAGGCTAAATAATTACCTAATATATTTTATGATTGATTAAAAAATCAGAAATTATAGCAGTAGAAAATTACCTGCATGGAATATCACTTATTTCTTCTCCATTTTTCCAGATAGACCACTCCAAAACTCTATGTTTATCCGGCAAAAACATAATCTAACTTATTAATGAGACAATGCACTTTCTCTGGCTCTGCTTCTCCCAAATCGCTCTGACAGATGAGCGCCGAGTCTCGCTGAGTCTCGCCACGCCGATGCACCCTTCACAAATCGCTACATCTCTTCCCCTCGCTCTGTCACTTTCTGTTTACGACGTCGGCATATGGCAGCCAGTCGTTAGCGCCCGAAACCGCTACGCTAACGGCGGCGTTTCATCTGCAGTTAGCGGCGAACAGCGTGCTTCCTTCACCTCCGACTGAAGCAGGGAATAAAAGCAGAAAGGTCTGATTGGGTTCTTGGGAGATCCATAAGTCACTGCTGTAACCTGGGCCTGACCTCTCCAGTCCAAGCATAGACTGTATACAGATGGACAATGCTAACACGCTAGCTGCATATGGAAGTGCTCGTGGATGAAGTTTTGCTCCAACTCGCTCTGGCTCCTTTTGATTCACATATATCTGGCTCAGTAACAGTTTGAAGCACACTCACCATTTTGGACATAAAATAATCTGTGGTTTTATGCTTTCAATGTTTCTCGGCAAGGCAAGTTTATTTGTTTAGCGCAGTTCAAACACACGGTAATATATATATATACAGTCACACAAGGCATGAACATCATAAATAATCACAGTACATTAAAAAGAGTAAAGATAAAATCCTTCAGTTGCTGCAGCAAAACAGAACTGGTTTTAACCTGGATTGGAGCATTGACAGAGAAGAATCCTGTCTCACATTTTCAGGAAGACTTTTCCAGATTTAGCTGCATAAATCTGAAAGGCTGCCTCCCCATGTTTAGTCCTGACTCTGGGACCAGCAGGAGGCCAGTCCTTGTGCTCCCCATAGTCCCAGCAAGGGGCCAGTCCAGTCAAGGCCGGAAAGTCCCTCTGCTCCTCATAGTCCCAGCAGGAGGCCAGTCCCTGTGCTCCTCAGAGTCCCAGCAGGAGGCCAGTCCCTGTGCTCCTCAGAGTCCCAGCAGGAGGCCAGTCCCTGTGCTCCTCAGAGTCCCAGCAGGAGGCCAGTCCCTGTGCTCCTCAGAGTCCCAGCAGGAGGCCAGTCCCTGTGCTCCTCAGAGTCCCAGCAGGAGGCCAGTCCCTGTGCTCCTCAGAGTCCCAGTAGGAGACATTTACACTCATTCAGATGCGTTCATATATATTTCAATCTTTTCAATATTTTGATGTTGTAAATCCAGATATGAGCCGTACAATTCTCCCCCACGAATGCATCTGAATTGACCAATCAGATGCACTCGTGGGGGAGGTTCACGACTTATACAAACACAGCTAACATGCTAATGCTAATAGTGTCTGACCTTTACTTTTACCCTTTGCAACCTTGACATTAATTGGATTTTCATGAATGTTTTGAACAGACGCAGAGTGTGACCTCTTCATGATAACTTTCAGCATGATTGTTTTTCCTTTTCTAATGATTTCTCCACGTCTTAAACCAATCGCTGGCCCTTCCTCCGCTAACCTCCGCCTCTGCAGCTCGGCGATAGCGCTGCCACCACGCCTTGTTAGTTTCCATTATCGCACAAACATAGGTTATCTGCGGCGGGTTAAATACTGCGAATATTTAATTAAGTGTTGAGAAATGCGACGTGGCAGGCGCAACCGCGAGGGGAAGTGCGGAGAGGAGAGAGTCTACGGGGTCCGGAGACGTGGGAGGCAGATCCAGATTAGAACGGGGGATAAGCTTGTCAAAAAGGCTTTTATCTCGGACATTCCGCCCTCCGGTTACGAGCGGAGAATCCAGGCAGTGAAGACATCGTGCACATATGAGCTGACAGGACGAGGAACACGAGGGGGTTTAGGAACACAACAAGGGCACAGAGGCTGAAGACAGAGAGAGGCTTGGTAAGGACGGAGATAAGAGATAGATACTTTATCGATCCCCCAGGGGAGAAATGCAGGTGTCCAGCAGCAGAAACGCATAAAGAGCAGAGAGAGACACTAGAGAGAGACCAGAGAGAGACCAGAGAGAGGCCAGAGAGAGGCCAGAGAGAGGCCAGAGAGAGACCAGAGAGAGACCAGAGAGAGGCCAGAGAGAGACCAGAGAGAGGCCAGAGAGAGACCAGAGAGAGGCCAGAGAGAGGCCAGAGAGAAACCAGAGAGAGACCAGAGAGAGGCCAGAGAGAGACCAGAGAGAGGCCAGAGAGAGACCAGAGAGAGGCCAGAGAGAGACCAGAGAGAGGCCAGAGAGAGGCCAGAGAGAGGCCAGAGAGAGACCAGAGAGAGGCCAGAGAGAGGCCAGAGAGAAACCAGAGAGAGACCAGAGAGAGGCCAGAGAGAGACCAGAGAGAGGCCAGAGAGAGACCAGAGAGAGGCCAGAGAGAGACCAGAGAGAGGCCAGAGAGAGGCCAGAGAGAGGCCAGAGAGAGGCCAGAGAGAGACCAGAGAGAGGCCAGAGAGAGGCCAGAGAGAGGCCAGAGAGAGACCAGAGAGAGGCCAGAGAGAGACCAGAGAGAGGCCAGAGAGAGGCCAGAGAGAGGCCAGAGAGAAACCAGGGAGAGGCCAGAAAGAAACCAGGGAGAGGCCAGAGAGAGAGAAACCAGGGAGAGGCCAGAGAGAGACCAGAGAGAAACCAGGGAGAGGCCAGAAAGAAACCAGGGAGAGGCCAGAGAGAGACCAGAGAGAGGCCAGAGAGAGGCCAGAGAGAGACCAGGGAGAGGCCAGAGAGAAACCAGGGAGAGGCCAGAAAGAAACCAGGGAGAGGCCAGAGAGAGACCAGAGAGAGGCCAGAGAGAGACCAGAGAGAGGCCAGAGAGAGACCAGAGAGAGGCCAGAGAGAGACCAGAGAGAGGCCAGAGAGAGACCAGAGAGAGGCCAGAGAGAGACCAGAGAGAGGCCTGAGAGAGACTAGAGAGAGACCATAGAAAGACTAGACTGAGACAAAGGTAAAGGTGCACTTTATTGATCCCCGTAGGGCAATTCAATCCTCTGCATCTGACCCATCCTGATAAGGTTTGCGTTAGGAGCAGTGGTCGCCGTAGTAACAGCGCCCGGGAACCCATCTTCAGATGTGAATGTTTGGCTTGGTCAGGACTACCGGAGCTGGAGGTTTATCCTAGTGTGCATGTTTTTAGTGGTAGGGGAAACCGGAGTACCCGGAGGAAACCTACGCAAGCACGGGGAGAACACGGGACTCCAGGGATTTGAACCCAGGACCTTCTTGCTGAGAGGCGAGAGTGCTATCCACTCAGCCGCCCAAGACAGATACCATAGAGAGACTAGACTGAGACTAGACTGAGACCAAAGAGAGACCAAAGAGAGACCAGAGAGAGAGATTTGATTTCACAAAGCACATCTACAAATATATGATGGATCAGCGCCGTCTCTGCAAGTGAAGGTTCTGGTGGATCTTGAACCCGGGTCTCAGCTCTCACCAGAACCGGATCCAGGAACACGTGTAAACAAGCGCCCTGCACCTGAGCTGTAGGTCAGAGCTGTGAGAGAGACCGGCTGCAGCAGATCGATAAGCTATTAAGGAGCGAGTCACACACACACAAGCTAACACACACACTAACACACACACACATTAATACACACACGCACACACACCTCCTCAGGGAACACACTGCCATTGCTTAATCGGGTCGTTCCGTGTTGGTGAAGCTGTCGGAACAAACGTGAAACTTTCAGGGCCGGTGGTTTCTCCTATAGACTGTATATAGATGGACAATGCTAACACGCTCATGCTTACACGCTCATGCTTACACGCTAGCTCATCGAAGCCCAAGAGAAGTTCTCAGGGACAAAGTTAAGCCCCAATTTGCTCTGGTTTCTTTTGACTTACATGTAAAACTAAACTCTTGTTGTAATGCACTGTGATTATTGATTATTTTATCTAGTTTTGTTTTCTACTACTACTGCTACTGCTGCTACTACTGCTACTGCTATTACTACTACTAATGCTACTGCTGCTGCTGCTACTACTACAACTGCTACTGCTACTACTAATGCTACTGCTACTACTGCTACTAATGCTACTGCTACTACTGCTACTAATGCTACTGCTACTACTACTGCTACTGTTACTGCTACTAAGACTGCTACTACTACTGCTACTAAGACTGCTACTACTACTACTACTAATACCACTACTGCTGCTACTACTACTGCTAATCCTACCACTGATACTGCTACTACTACTACTATTGCTACTGCTGCTACTACTACTACTACAACTGCTACTGCTATTGCTACTACTACTGCTACTTCTACTGCTACTGCTACTACTTCTGCTACTTCTGCTACTACTACTACTACTGTTGCTACTACTGCTACTGCTACTACTACTACTGCTACTGCTACTACTACTACTACCACTGCTGCTGCTCCCACTACTACTACTGTTATTACTTCTACCACTTGCCAAATTTCTTCCCACAACAATCAACCAATCAGATGCCTTCATTTAGCAACTGCTGCAGCGCAAAGCTAACACAGACGGAGCAAATGCCCATATAAGGCTCCAGCTAGCTTATGTTCAAATCAGACTCTTCTGCAGTCAGGCTAACACTGTGGTGATGTCACACTCTGTCAGTCCAACAAACTTGTTTCTTTCGGGTGCTTCTCTCTTCTTCTTCTTCTTCTTTATTGTTTATTGAAACAGGGACAGTGTACAAAACCATTAGTCTTTACAAAAGAAGAGATGATTTGTACCAGATTTAGCAAAGTAGCTATTTTCCATCTGCAGTCCCTGGACAGGTGAGTACAAAAAACATTACAATCTATAAATCTAATCTACAATAAAATCACTATATAAAATACATTAGTTTTCTGTACACTTCTAAAAAAAAACATATAAACAATCCCTACAGTTTACAATACATTCATCAATGCTGACACGATTGATGATCTAGTCGACGATTGAGTTCTTTGGTTTCCTCCGTGGAAAGTGATGTGTTGCGGTTCCATTTGCACATCGCTGCGAGTGTAAATAGTGTGTTACTGGTATGCAAATTATGTCACAGCATTCGGTGTTAGCAAAAAAGTGTCGATGGTAAGTCATAAAACTTTGAAAACACTGTTGTTTTGGAGTGAATGAAGCTAAAAACTATTCCACGTCTGGCTAAGATGAGGGTCTCTTTCTAGTCCCTCTCTGCTCTCTCTCTTTTCTCTTTCTGGTCTCTCTCTGGTCTCTCTCTGAACTCTCTCTGAACTCTCTCTGGTCTCTCTCTGGTCAGACGAGACCTTTTTGGCTCTATGCTTTTGGCAAGACACCAGAAAGAGACCAGTAGGAGATCAGAGAGAGACAG